ACCCCCCCTCCTTAGTTACCCATGGCCGGAACAAATCAATCCAACTCCCAATGAATGCAATACAATGGAAAACAACAACAGTTGGGTGATGCAGGTTCTGACACAGAGCTACAGTGCGAGAGGAAAGCTTTAACTTTTGTTTTTCCTTCCTGCGCCTGCACAGAAAGTTCATCAAACATGGAAGGAGTGGGGAGAGTTGCCTATTTCAGGGTGTCAGATTTCAGCGTGATAAACCGAAATATGAATCAGTAGACAACTCCCTACCCCAGCTATAATCCAAATGCCATCCCTCCTTCAGCCGTAGGCATCCCTGTCTTATAAACTAATCACTTCTACACCGTAAATATTTTGCAAAGTGATCAGGCTGGACCGTGATGCAGATTTTAAGAATGAGGATTATATGATGAAATTTGAAGCTATGTCTGTGATGCCTTTTCATCAAAAGTCTGTTCCTTCTAGTAGAAAATATAGGAGTGTACGTGATTCCTATCTCTTGTTTCTATTATTATTCTAAACTGCCATAAAATACTGCCGATTACGTGAAGTGAAAACATTGAGGAAATAAGTCATTAGCCATTTAATGGTATGTATGCTTTTTTCAGGCACTGAAACACTTTCTGAAAAGTCCAAATACAGAGGATAATATGGCTATAGAGATGGCAATAGAGACGGTAAGAAAATATCATTTAGGAAGAAGAAAGACGTTAGACCTTCTTTTTTTACCAACATTCAGTGTCACTGCTGTAGTAAATTTAAGCAGAAAATGTAATGCTATATTTTATATTACTTTTACATTTTATAACCTGCTTTTGTTTCAGAACTGAAATTTATAGTAGTTATTTTCAATATGCAACGAACTGAAGGCTTCATCCTGGTGAATCTTTTGTAAAAATTCCTCAGTGGCAGGCTGATACTATTAATTGTGGTTTATAAGAGTTACTTTCCATTATTTCTCCCTACATATATGATGTTGTTCCATTCACTTATTTTTTGAACAGGTGGGCCAGGCGAAAGATGAAGCTCTGACAAACCAGCTGATAAATTTCCTTATGGGCGAGAATGATGGTATACCAAAGGTACTGGGTTCCAGACAGAACGTATATCCCATTTTTCAACCAAATCTATACCTGGTCTAAATTTTCAAACTGGTTTACTGGGGAGTAGAGCTACTTGAACATTATAAGCAAAGTATGTCCATGAATGAAGCTTAGTCCTCTCTGAAGTAATACACGTGTCTGAGCTCTATCACCATTGACCTTCCGGAGGAATGTGCCTGCATATAAAAGTATGCCACAGGAAAAATTGGCATAGGGTGCGCCATCATTACTAATACAGTGGTACCTCTACTTACGAACACCCCTACTTACAAAATTTTCGAGATACGACCAGCTCCGGCCCCAAAAATTTACCTCTACTTACGAACTTGCCTCTCTGCTGTA